CCCCTTATTGTGCCCTATCCAGCCGTTTTCCTACCTCATTCCTGCACAAATGGTATCAGAGGGGGCGTCGAATTCAAACCATGTACAAATCTCCGAAACCATTTTTTCGTGAACAGTGCCTTTAATATCTATCTAACCTAGGAACTTCTTTGTCTGATTTTTTTCAAACGCTGAATGATGAAAGTTCTTATGTCGTGGAAAGAATTCTCTCAAAACTTTTATATACAGCGAAATATGACGAAATCGAAGAGCCAGAGATTTCGCGAAGAAACATTGGTTAATCGTTTGATGATTCTGTTTTATGGCATAGTTTCAAACTAAATCATAGATCAAATTTTCAGCTTCCGCCTTCTCTTATCGTCGATTTTCGGATTCTCCTGAAATTCCCGGTTTTCACAATAGTGCTCGGAGACAGATGTTCTGATTCTAGCATTTTTAGGTTTGAAAATACATAAATTACCGCGTGTAATTTGAATCTTCCTCTTTGCTTGTGGTCAATGAGACAAAGGTGTCGGTCTGGCCTTCGATGTTTCTTGCAAAATACGTACTGGCATGCGCAGCGCATTTGCTGCTCGCTAGGCTTCAACTTGGTAAGGCAAACCTGCAAATAATCGTTCCTCAGACATTTGTTTGAGACATTGTTAGGCCTTGCATTTCACTCTGAAGGTGTCTGGACGACGGACTCTGGCCGCTTATTTTATCATGCGACGATTGCCTCACTCATTCTTCTTCCATCTTTCGTCACAGTCGCCGTCGCAGCAGCCTGGCCGTCTTCGTCTTTTTGTGTACACTCCACGCCAACACCACCAGTCGCATACCCAGAGGACCCCGAAACACCATCCTATTACTATCTACTGTGGTACAACTGCTGTCATTGTCAACCTCATCGGAAGTTTATACATTGAAACCGCACTGGACCCACGGTAGGATACTATCCTGCTCACTCCTAAGTTGGGCCATCCAATCCTCCCCAAATTTTTGCGGTACTGCTGCTCCTTGCTTCATTATTGGGTGCAATCTTTCGGATCCTCCTCATGCAACGAAGAGCTGGAGGAGTGTTTCGCGCCAAGGATGAATTAAGGAGCAACAGTACCGCAAGAATGTGGGGAGGGTTGGATTGAACGGCCCCGGCCCCGTGACACACATTACCTCTTCATTAAAAACCCAATCAGTAGTCTCCTTATATGTAGCATGATCCTCGGAACTTCTGAGCAAGGCAAGAACAGAATCAAGAATTTCCAAGGAGTTTGAGAACTCGGTGCAAAATCGTTATCAGAATAAGATGCCACTATTTCTTCATTCATCTGCACGCCGAAATTGGTGAGGGTTTATGTCTGGAGACTTGAATCCATCATACCTGGCAGACTGTTTTTAGGTATTCCTCTCTTTGTGCTATAACATCTTGCAGCTCTTTCTCGTCCGATGGTGGCAGACACATGCTCTTCTTTTTCTGCTCAAGCTCCAAAATTGTTTCCGGTGGCTCGAAAAAGGTCTGCAAGAAGATTCAAAGTTAAGTGTACAAAGTTCGAAAGAAGTTCGTAAAAAAACGACGGTGATAAACACGGAAAAGACAAGTCGACGCATCGTCGAACACTTGGTCTGTATACGCGGTTTGTGAGCTACTAGTTTTCGGTTTTTTTCATGATCCAATGTACCTCTCGTGAATTCTGACACTGCTGATATATATTTGCGCCTCATATTGGTACCTCTTATGAAATTCACTATCGTGCTCAGATAGACCAAGAAACCTGCTGTTTGCAGGAGGAAGCAACTTTTGCCAACAATAGTAAGGCACTCTTCCTGCAATCAGGTTGTGCAAAGAGGACAAGTAGCAAGGACACCAACACTTCCTTACTGCATGATGCTAATCCAAAATAGAAATTTCACATTCTGGTTCCCATTACTTTCAAAAGTAAGGGATCTGTAAGTAAGTAAGGGATATGTAATACCAGTCATTATTCCGAGTAAACGATTCAGCAGCTCTATGTCAGAACACTTTCAAAATGATGAGCACCGAAACATCCTTTGAATTTACCAAAATCAGGGAATATATGATCTGAAATCCATGTTTAGGGCCCTCGTTACATTCTCATATATACTCTGACATTAAATTTCCTCCTTTTATGATTTCCTCCACTAGCGTGGGGGAGGTGGACATGTCCAAGTGCCAATCCAAGTACTATACGTATAGCGCAGGGACCAAGAGTCGGAATAGTACGATCTGGCTATCAGATCCGTATATTCCGGAAGAGAAATTAGTTTCAACATCCTCTCGAAATGTGAAAGCGCTGACTCCTATAGCGATTAGCCACTGCAATTCAATGCATGAGCAAACAAGCATCCAGTGACCACCACATAGAATGGAGTCGGATGGGTGGGCACAAGAAAGATTGATCACGGGCAGAAAATTCTATTTCTGGCAGGACATTTAATGGTGATCGGAAGGTTAATTGTTCGTTATCAGATTAGGTCGCCAGACAATTGCACTGAAACTGGGACAATTCATATTTCGTAGTACTAGCTGGGTAGTCCACCTTATCAGTAACCGAACATTTCCTATGTACATATATCTGTATTTATCTATATATCGAGAATTTTGTTTAAAATTTCCCAGGTAAAGCTGAGGGTCCTGTGGAACTACTTTAGCGATGCAATACACTGCAAATAATTGTGGAATGTAATTAACTCAAAAATGATCTGCGGACAATTTCAGGATTGAGGAAGTTCAACTGATGGAAAATCTTGGTCAAAATTTGGTTACTCTACCTGACAAATTAAAACTTGACGTCTGACCTGCAATTCTATCACAGACACAGTTGTCCGGGATGCGTCCTCCATCTGTTTCACTGACCTTTCCGAATTTTTGTTTGAACGTGGCCTTCTGTTGCTTTCATCAGAAGCCATTACTTCGCATATAGAACCCCTTGTCGTGGATGCGCTGCGACTGCAACAGACTAACTCATTAGTTTTTGGTAATGAATACATCAAAAAATATAATTTTCAACAGTAAGCGTTGATCCTACCTTATAACAGAACCCTGGGATCCTGTAGAATCATCGCTTAGTATTCTCTTCCGCTGTCTTTTAAGCAAGCTCTAAAAACAAAAGCGCTCGTTTTTTATGTTATTATTTCAATAGTGAGATATTATCAAACAATATCCTACGATGGCGAAGGGTAGTGCAGGAGTAAGTGGCGCCTCCTATCGCAAACTTGGTCCAGGATCTGGACTGATTAACGCACAAACCGGCTAGCCCATATTTCTTCCTGGTTTGGTAAAGCTGATCTCAGATTGGTATGATAGAAGCTCTAACTTGTGCATCAGGTAGTAACCACTGTCACTGTATAGACCACATACGCACACAAAATGCCACTGCGATTCTGGATGCAGTCCAAGGGAGGGAAGGGGGGGGGGGGGGGGGGGGGGGGG